CCTATATTATTAATAATTTTTACTAGATATAGAATATTTTGTTGCTTTCGCAAAAATGTAAGAATTTAGCAAAGTATCTAGGCATTATTATTATTTCAATTCGTCAATAGGTTTAACGCTCATCAAACATTCATTAGATATTGCATTGAAAATATTTTATCAAGAATATTAACATTTACAATAATTTCATAATAAATCAAACATTACTCCTATCAATTATATGAATTACAGAAAGTAAGTATAGGTTCCAAAAAATATAAATTTATTAAACACGTAAACAAGTCAATACACTTAAACAATTTTATATATTGTAGCACGTGAGTATAATTTCAAAAAAAAACTTAATAACTAAGATTTACAAAATCTTATTATTTGATGTACTATAGGTCGTAATAGTAGCTGAAGAGTTTAAAATGTCGGAAAACCTTGAAGCACAATTAAAAAAAGCAATAGACGATGCGAATAGGTCACCAAAAAAATTAGAACTTCCGGAAGTCAAAAAATACCGTCATGAAATTGATAAATCACTTGAATATTTTGAAGATTTCGATAAAAAAGCTTTGAAACCTGATGATTTTGATGATATGATTAATTTAGCACATGATATTCTTTTCAATTTAGCTAATTTAAGAATTGAAAATTTAAAAAGTGCTCACCCAAATGAAATGAATTCAACAGCTAGTAAAATTGATAAATATTTGCCAGAATGGATTAATAATTGTACTAAAATTACTAACAAATTTGAACAGTTTTATCAAGATCTTAGCAATTTTATTATCAGTAATAATATAAAAGACAACCTTTTATTTTTTAAAACTCAAGAAGAATTTTTAAACGAAGTCGATAAAGTTAAAAAAGATATACATAAAAGGTCGAACAAAATAAATTTCTTCAATAAAAGTTATGAAGAAAAGGTAAAAAATTAAGTGTTATTTTTTCCAGTAATAACGTTGTACTTATATTTTCTATTGTTAAAAATAAATCAGAAAATATATTCAAACTTTCTTATTATTATTGGATTAAAATCATTATATGATTTAACTGCTGAATTAGAATATGCAAGAAGTAGATTTAAACTTCTGGATCCAATCTTCATTAAAGAAATATCAGGTTCATTTTTTCTATTTATATTTTAATAAAATATTGAAGTTAATTATTATTACTATTTGAACTTTTACTATACTAGACTTTTGGAAAGAACTTACACCTGAACTGCAATTAAGCGAAGAATTGGTGAAAAATTTTCAAGAAAGTGAATTATATACAAAAGAAGGTTGTCTTTATTGCATTGTAGAAAATTTGTCAAAAATAGGTTGTTCTGTTAATAATTTTTTTCGAAATATTGTGGTCAAAAAGATTGCAAAAAACTATAGAGAACAAGACATGTAATAGTAGTACATTTTGAGATTTAACATCCTGATGATGACCATAGAGTATAGTTAGTAATATTCTTATCATATTAGAATAAATTTGATTAAGGGTTGTTGGGTTTTGTTTAGGATTTAGAATATATTCGTCACATTATGATATCAATATTTTTAATAATAAAATCTTATATAAAATCGATCTTGCAATATTATTGGTCAATAGGAGATTGTGTAATCAGCAACTTGATACCAATAATACCAATAATGATAATATTTAGCTTTTCAAACTTAAGTTACTCGATTCACTAGATAAACCAGTTTCTTGCTAATGTTAATATTTTAAGATGTTTATGAAAATATGATTCTTTATTGATATTAATGGATAAGCTGTAATTTCCAATTTTAACAAATTCTTAAATAGAAATTGTTTGAAGTGAACAAGAATTATGGTTTAAATTTCTTGGCACAAAAAGAAAATTAGCAAGTGAAGACACAAACAAAAAAGCAATAACAAATACAATTTATAAAAACATTTTAAAACAATGATTATTATATTAAATATTTTATGTCGTTAATAACCAAAGTTATAAATTGAACTTTGTTCAGTATTTTTTTACATATTGATATGTACAGTATATACATACCTATTGCACAAGCATCCTGAAAATGTGATCTAGATGATGTGCAATAGTGGCTGTACGATATTAGCATAATTAATGAAAAACAAATTTCAAATTTATAACCTTAGTTGCTAACACAATATAAATTCCAATATACTAAACATTGTTTATAAATTGTGTTTTATAAATTATGTTTCCTTTCTTTTCATGTGTTTATTGTACTAAAAAGATGAACCTTAATTCTTGAAGAATTGTTAAAATGAAAATTAATACATATCCATTAACAATAGTAAAAATCTTATCTTTTTAAGCTTTTTAAAATGTGTTTAATATTAACAAGAAATTACAGATTTATTGTAGTAGAACAGTTAACGTTCCACAATTAAACCTGGAATACATTAAATAAACTATACTTGCTTTAGTAAGTTTTATATTTTACTAAGAAACACTTTTGTATTTACTTTAGTACAGTAAAAAAAATGGCAAACATTATTATCGACATTTAGATCTTTGGATAATTTAATTACCATCTAATCACACACCAACCTGGTACATGTGCTCGAG